GGGGAGGTGGGGGGGAGAGAGAGAGAGAGAGAGAGAGAAAGAAAAGAAAAAGAAACAGCATCTTCTGGGAGTAGGAATTGCATTTAAAAGCAAACTCCCTGCCTCGGTGTCTCAGGATCAAAGAAGACACCGCCAATGAAGTCTTCCACGAGGTCAGTGCACGTCGAAAGAGCTCGGGGTTGGATCGGAAGGGACAAGGTGAGTCTCACTGTCGTTGTTAGTGGTGCTGTATTTTGATAACTGCACCACTGCTGTAGGGTAAAAGGTGCCCGCCCTCCACAGAAAGATACACAGTATCGAGCCCTACCTCCTGGCACCTCTCAATGTGGGCATCGGGTCTTTGCAGATGTAATTAAGGACCTCAAGGTGGGATCATGATCATCTGGACTGAGCAGGAACTCTGAATCCAGGGGGGGGGTTGTCCTTATAAAAGACAGAAACGGAGAAGACACAGTTAGCAGGGAGGAGGCTGTGCAAAGATACAGGCCGAGCTGGAACGACATCCTCACAGCCGAGGAGCCAGGAGGCCCCGGAAGTTGGAAGAGAACAGGAAGCACCTCCCACCCCCACCCCAGAGCCTCCAGAGAGAGCATGGCCCTACTTGGCTTCCGACTTCCGGCTCCAGAACTGACAGTGTAAGTTTCTGTTGTTTTTAGCTCCTGGTTTGTGGTGGATTCTTACAGCAGCCCTAGCAAGCGAGCACCAAGCTGGGCAAGGAAGCAGCAGGGTGAGGAAGGTGACCGGTGTTTCCCTAGACACGGTGTCCCTGAAAGCTGGCCTCTGTCCTGTGAGCCTTTGCGGGGGACCATCAGGTCATAACGCACACAGGTGTCCGTGGGTCCACCGAGCCTGGAAACGCCTTCTCCAAGTGGGCACATCCATCGCCCTCCCGTGAGACCTGGGAGCTGTCACTTGGACAAGTCACTTACCCTCTTGTGTCCCTGTCCCCTCATCACTAAATTGGGGACAATCATCTTGATGTGGATGGTTCTCCATGGTAAGGGCTGCCCTGGATGGTGTGAGGTGTTTCCCAGCACCCCCGGCCTCTACCTGCCCAGAGGTGATGACCAGAATGTCCCCCAACACAGCCAGCCAGACCTCTCACAGAGGCTCAGTTGCCCTCGGTGGGGAAGCGGGGCCTGAACCACCCTCAGGTCCCCCACGGTGTTGCCTGCACTGCCTGCCTCTCTCCACGGTGCCTGCAGCGCAGCCCCCAGCGCAGAGCGAGGCCTTCTAGTGCCGCTGGTCTGCAGCAGCCTGCACAGGACAGAGCGCCCCAGAGGGAGGCAGGGCCTCGGGCTGCCCTCCAGGGTGCAAGGGCGACACACGATGGCCTCCAGCTCGGCACTGTTGCTTTCTCTGAGGACGGACAGTCCCCACGCTGGGCCCGGGCCAGGGCTGAGCAGGTGGGTGCCGAGGGTGACCAAGGAGCCGTGTCACCCCACCCAGCGTGGGACTCCGCTCTGCTCCGGAGCTCTCCCTGTCCTCTCTGTCCCCAGGTGCTGGGTGCTCTTTGCCCTGCCAGGTCAGTTTCCCCCACTGTCCCCAGATGAGTTCATGACCAGCCAGGTCTGGGAGCTCAGCGGCCCCTGGTCGCGCCAGCTCTGACATTCTAGGATTTTATGATTTGGGAGAAGCTGGATTTGACCCAGGTCGTGTTGGAATGGGTGTGATAAACCATGCTGTCCTGGGTTTTACAGCCTCCTCGGGGCAGTGCATTTTAAAGGCTCCTGCCTGAGGACGGAAAGGGGACCCTGGCTCTTGTTCTGGTTTGGGTCCTCAGGGAGCAGACGGGAGCATCTCCATTCAGCTCTGTGACTGGTACCGACAGGGCCAGCACTGCGAAGACAGCGGGACAGGGGATAGGATCATCAGGGGACCAGACGGGGCAGGCACTAACTGGGTGACGCTCCAGAGACGGTGACATAAACTCAGGGTAAGCTGGGCGTGGTGGTGCACACCTGTAATTCCAGCAGCCTGGGAGGCTGAGGCAGGAGGATCGAAGGTTCTAGCTCTGCCTAAGCAACTTAGTGATTTAGGAAGATCCTGTCTGAATCAGTCAATCAAACAGACGGGCTGGGGATGTAGCTCAGTGCAAAAATCCCTGCATTCAGTCCCTACCACCATTAAAGAAGAGGGGAGTGGGGAAGAGGAGGAAGAGGAGGAAGAGCCCAGGGAGTGGTGTTCCAGGCAGCGGGGACACAGCGGACACAAGGACCACCAGCGGGAAAGGTGCGCACGCTGGGAGGGGGCAGAGGGCATCGGGAGGACAAGAGCTGAGAGCCCTCCTAGTGCAGGAGGCTGCTGGAGTCCCGGAAGGGTGAAGATGAGGCTGGGTCACTTGGGAGATGAAAACCCACCTCCACTTTTAGGATAGGGGACTTGCCAAGGCCACAACGCCTGTCATCTCCGTTTGGAATTCAGGCACTGTCCTTCTGAGCAGAAGGCCAACCAAGCAAGGACACCAGAACTAATGCGGGACCCAGTGGGACAGAAGGGCAACAGGAGGCCCCCCAGAGCCAAGCACTCAGCACTGTGTGAGACCGGACCGCCGCCACCCAGCTCGGCCAAGCCACCCCAAGGCCGTGAGCAGGGGGCAGGCTGAGCCGGTTTCCATGGAGACCGGGTCAGGTTGGAGGGCAGGACTCGGGGGCTGTCCCGTGGCTTCCCAGTTCCCGGGTCACCTCTCTTCCACAAGCTTTGCTGTCCCCGGGGAGCCACCCTGGAGCCCAAGAGCTGCCCCGTTTTCTCTCAGTTTTCTTCATTTCTCTCTTCAGCTTTACGGAGAGGTATAACTGACAAAGAAAAGTTGTCTGTGTTTAGGGTGCTGCCCTGTGAAAAGACGACCGCAGTCAGACGCATTCCATCGCCACCCCGGGAGAGGGAGCTGCGAGGCCCAGCTGTGTGTTTTGTTTCCGCCTGGGGAAGCTGCATCTTCCCTGGGTGCCTGTGTCTCCAGGGTGCTCCCGGCCCCGCCACTCCTGGCCTCGTCCCATAGTCACCTGAGAGGGACGGTGGGGGAGAGAAAGAAACGAAGGAGGAGGGAAAAGAGGAGGAAGGAAAAAATGGAGGAAGGGAGGGAGACACGGAGGGGCTTGGGTTCCTGGACGGCCCTCCTCGTCCGCCTGGAGGATGCCTGCCCACCCTTCAGGGCCGTTTGATGTGGCCCAAGGGGAAATGAAGGCCAGAGGGGAATCTGGGACCAATGTCTTGGTTCCTGCTTTGCACTGACTCACAGGGTGTCCCAGGCCAAGCAGGTCCCCTCCCCTCCTGGGCCTCAGTTTCTCCATTTCCACCTTTAGGATAATGGGCTTGTTGTGCTCAGGAGTGTCTCTCATCTGGACACTTCCTGTGCTCCAAAAAGGACCTCCTGGCACTGGGTAGTCCTCTCTCCCTATCACCTTTCTCCAAGTCTCCTCACTGCCCACCACCCATTGTGTGCTCTTGGGAACCCTGTGCCTCAAGCCAGACCCGTAATAGGGCTTTGCCTGGAGCTATTCGGAAAGAGGCTTTCTTTCTGCTGAGCTGATGGGATGAAGCCACCCTACACGCAAGACAGGAGCACTTACCTGACAATGACGGCCATCCGCGGAGAGCTGCTGAGAGCCGATGCCTGGGAAGCTCCTCTGAGCCCCTGGATGCAGCCGCACCTGAGGCCAGTACTGTGCCCTGGACTTTGCAGTGCCTCAGCCTGTGGATACAGAAGAAGAGTTGCATCTTAACAAATACAAAAAGAAAAGAAAGAAATGAGAACAGATATTGAAAAGAGTAAGCAGAGAACAGAGTCTCCCTTAGGGCCTCGGCCAGGAGCTGACACCGTTGGTGGCTTGATTTAGAACTTGGGCCCTCCAGACCCATGTGAGCGCAAGTTTGTACGATTTTAGGGCACCCAGTGTGTTCCTCCCCTGGGCCCAGGGAGAGAAGGCCCGGCAGGTACAAAGGTGGGCCCGTCGAGCATGCTGGGGGTGGCGTGTGCGTCGCTCCTCACCCCCTGAGCGGTGTCACCCCCATTTCGCAGGTTGAAAGCTCGTATTCTCAAGGGACTGCCGCATGGAGGGGTGGAAGAGGGAGAGCCGCCTCGTGGTAACGTGGAGAGCCTGCGCTTCCTGTCCAGCTGGGACAGAAGTCCGGGAGCTGTGCATCCCTGGCCACATGTTTCACCCCCAGCCAACCTCCCAGAAGCCGCCTGAGCCCCGCACTTTACAGAGGAGGAGGTGGAAGGAAGGAAGAGTGCTGCGCTCACCCCAGCGGGACCTCCCGTCACTTCCTGAAGATCCCTGTGCTAGGCCTGCTCCGCAGCCTCACCCAGTCCGGGTCTGCAGAAGGTTCCGGATGTCTCATACTGAGCATTTAAAGAATATGCAAGAGACAGCTGCCCCCCTACCCTCACTCACGTCTGGAGCCTCTCCCTGTCCCATCTGGCTGCCCGAGGGCGTGAGGTGAGTCCAGTAGATCCTGGCTCTCCCTCCATAGCACAGGGCCTGGCACGTGCGACGTGGCCCAGACAAGTCCTGGGAGCACAGGTGTCTCGAGATGCTTGCACAGGCCCAGTCTCTGGTCCCGGCCCTGAGGGCAGAAGGCTGGGTCGACGCCCCTTCAGTGCCCTGATGGTCCCACATATCACCCAGTATGAACTGCAGGAGTATGGAGCAGAGCCCGGCGGACGGCTACTCGTCCATCAACGCCACTGCTGCTGCCCGAGTGAGAGCCACCGTGGAGCCCCTGACAGTGCCCCTTGCAAGCTCCTCCCCCAGATGTCCCCTCACCACATAGGCAGGGATGCTTCGAGCTTGGGCGTGGGTGTGAGATGTGGTTAAAGGGTGTCTGCTCTACGGCCCCGCTGTCCTTGCCCAGAGCGGGAGGGGTGGCAGACAGATAGCGGGTGACAGTAGGACATTTATAGTTCCGCTTGGCCAGTAGAGGAGTCTGGAGGAGGCTGGTGGGGGCCAGCAGACAGGTCAGTGGATGGTGCTTATGGTCACTTGGATCTGGACGGGTCCAAGACAGATGGCAGTGGAGGTGACGGGCCGTGCCGAGGTCCCTGGTCCATGGGCAGGGGACAGCTGGGCAGCACCACACATCTGGCATAGATGGGGAGGCCTGCGGAAGGTGGGAAAGAGCGAGGCATCAGAAGCAGCTTGGGCAGCAGCTGGGGACAGGAGCAGGCTCGGTCTCGTTGTCTGCCTCTCTCCTGGTCTCCCGTCACCTCCTCGCCTTTGCTTCTGCCTCTTCCTCCCCTCTGTGCTTGACTCTGTCCTGGTGCCCTTTCCCTTCTGTCCGTTCTCCTCTCTCCTTTTCCCCTCCCTCTTCTTCCTCTTCCTTTCGGTCTCTCTGTCTCTTTGTCTCCTTCTCTTCCTCCTTCCCCGTCCCGGTCTTGCTCTGTTTTTCTCAGGCAGGTCTATCCCTTGTCTCTGTGTACCCTCGCTCCCCCCCTCCTCTGTAGACACACACGGCAGCTGGCATTTCTTGGGCACACATATGTCCGGGCCACTGTTCTGAACTCTTCCCTTACACTGGCTCCCATTCACCACTCAGTCCTCACCCAGCCCCAGGGGACCTGTGAGGACTTGACTTGCATTCACCCCTAGATCCATGCGCCAATTCTCCCGGACCCAAGCAGACTATACTGTCAATAGGAATAATGGGGAGGATAAAGAGAATTCATCGGGAATCTCCTCTATGCTGAGTGTTTGTCATCTCCACAAATCGTCTGTGCATACTCTGAGAAGCAGTTATGACTGTCTCCACTTGGAAGATGGGGAAACGGGGGATCAGAAGTTAAATGACTTCATCATGGTTCCACAGAGGCAAGATGGAGAGCAGGGCTGTAATCAAGGCCTTTCCGAACAGCACCAGTCTGGGCCTCTCCAGGAGAGAGCCTGGGGTGCCCAGGCAGAGCAGGGACACAGATCCACAGGGCATCCCTCCCGGGGGACTTGGCTCAGGGGGAGCACCGCCCGTCTCGCCCTCGGTATCACTCCTCTGTCTCTCTCTCCCCTTCTTTCTGGCTCTAAACCTCTCTCTGTCTCCTCTCTTGCCTCTCAGTATCTTTCCTCTTCTTTTTGCACCCTCTTCCACGCCTTCTCCAGTGTTCTCCTGCACCTCATGCACCAAAGGCTGATGCCTTCCCATCATCATGGCACCTCAAGGTCACAATACTTGGATTGTGACCCACACATAGTTTTTCCCTAATAAAATCCCTTAACACAGAGTACTTGATATCCCTTCTTTGAGAACTTCCCATTCCCCCATCCTCTAATAGGGAAGGCCTCTTGGCAGCCATGTTGGTGTCATGTGACCCTGCCTCCCAGGCTGATTGGATCGAGGATGGTCACTTGACCCAAGATAGGCCAATCAGACCCTCTGTCATAGAAATATGGGAATTGAAGATCTAATCTTTTTTCATTAAAAAAAGTTTAAACATATTTGTCACATGAAGTAGTTTTATTATTTTTAGAGTACATAAATAATACATACTAATTATAAAAATGCTGTGCAATACATAAAAATAGAAAGATGATAAAGATACCTCAAACCCCACTACCCATATGTTGACGTGTTGGCCATATTTTGTTGACCATACTTTCATGCCTGTCTCTCCGTGTAAACACACACATCCATCTAATTTCACATAACTCTAATTTGAAGTGAACAGGCTTATATTATACATGATGGTTGAAAAATGGCCAGCTTTTTTCACATGAAAAACAAGTTTTTGTTTGCATCTTTTCTCACTCTTCTACTCCCCTTCTTTTCTCTTACTTTCTCTCTTACCTTCACTCCACCATGTCTAACCCTATAACCAGTTTATAATCTCTCGCATTCCCTTCTGTAACAAACTGAATCGCACCCCCCCCAAATGTTCAAGCAACCTTGAGTGCTGCCTTATATGGAAGAAGGGATTTGAAAACAGGAGTATGCAGGGCCTTGGTATGAGGAGATTACCCTGCATCATGTGAGTGGTCTTAATACTAGTTAAGAGATGAGGTCTTACTGGGTCGCTCAGCTGGCCCCAAACTCCTGGGCTCAGTGACTCTGTGACTTCAGACTGCTCAGTGGCTGAGACGAGTACATGCCACTGGCCCCAGATGCACACTCCCAACTTCAGCGTGAGCCTTAGAAGAGAGATACAGGAAGCATCCGTGCTGGGGGAGAAGCCTTGTGTAGACGGGAGCGCAATGGGAGGGATGCAGCCAGAGCCGGGAACGGCCAGGCTGTGTCCGCTGCAGGAAGCAGGGAGGGACAGGCTCTTCCCTGGGTCCAGCCCTGCTGCCGGTGTCTTGACTTTAACCCCACAAGACTGATTTCAGATTTCTAATCTCAGAGCTCCAAAAGAATACATTTGTGTCATTTTCGGCTGCTAACTACGTGGTCACTTCACAGCAATTACAGGGGCAGGGGGAGGAAAAAAACACAGATTTGGGTGCCATACGTGGGGTGCTGCGATCACAAATACCTAAAAGTGTGGAAGCAACTTTGGAATTTGGAAGAATTTGATGCCACGTGATAGAAAAGGCCTGGACGGTAGAAATGTGGGAGTCAGGGGTATTTCTGGGAGACTCGGGAATTGTGGAGAGAGTGTAGCTCATCTCTGAGAACACCTAAGTCATCAGCAGACTGGGGGTTGAAATTCTTTGTGGAAGGTGCGGCTGCTGAAGGCTCAGGGGAAATGAGGAATACGTTTCTTGGAAAGTAGAGGAGGGGGACCCTTGTCCCGTGGAGGCAGAGGGCAGGGGTGGTGCCCTGTTGTTACCCGGAAAGCAGAACTGTGAGAGATGAGCTTGTGCATTTCAGCTGAGATTTCCCTGCAAGGTGTCAGAAGCGCAGCCTGGTCTCTCGATGGTGCTGTGGTCAGAGGTGGGAGAAGAGAGATGGACGCGGGGAAGAAGCAGCAGGCAGGAAGGAACAGGACTTGAAGATTTGGGGAAACCTCCACCCGTCCAGACTGCAGGGTGTGCTGTGGTTAGCTCACTGTAGGGGAGGAAGGATGTCCCGGGAGGAAAGCTAGGGGCACGGGGGAAGGCATCCTCCCAGTGCCCCAGAAGGACCACGGGTCACAGTATCAGTCCTACAGAGGGGTTTGCATGGGATGTGTTGATATCCTCAGTTGTCACAGCAGGGACCCAGGGAGGAACCCCTTGTCTGGAGCAGGGAATCCCCATGATCATCCTGGGAAACCCTCACGGCTTCTGAGACCACGGGTTAGCAGAAACACAGCTGCCTTGGTCCGAAAAGGATGGAGAGAGGACAGAATGAAAGAAGACCATCATTCACACTCCCGCCAGGCCCTGATCCTCACATTATGCTGTCTGTTCTGATCCAGGGTGTGTAAACTCAGCGGCCGCAGGATGGCCACAGCCCGTCCTTCGCAAATCTGAGAGGTGGCAATGAGCACGGAGAAGCCCAGGGTGGGAGACAGACAGACAGGGAAGACAGAAGAGAGGGCTCCGATGCCCCACTCCTTCCCTCCTGACAGAGTCCCAAGACCAGGTTCTCCTGTCCTCCTCCCTAGGGCCAAGGATCTGCCTTCTCCCTTTGCAAGGCTCTCTTCTAGGATTCTCGGGAAAGGGGGTTTTGAGTCAGTCTTACAGATCTGCAGAAGCTGGAGCTATGTTCAGGTGGCGTCAGCTTCTGTCTGTCCCTCTCAGGGAAGCCCTGAGCCTTGGGGAGCTGCGTCCCCCTCTGCAGCTGCTCCTCTGCCTTGGGTTTCTCCATGACAGTCACATAAGGCTGCCCTAGGAGGTAAGGTTTATCAGAGCACTGTGTGACCTTGGGTGAGATGCTTACCCTCTCTGGCTTTAATTTCTTCATCTGTGAGATGGGAGTTGTAACAATGCAGGTCTTATGAGATTGCTGTGAGGCTAAATTAACAGTATGTTTCAAAAGTGTTCAACATGGTACTTGGCACAGAGTAAAGGTTCGATAAAGATTAGCCATAATAACAATAATAATAATGTTCCCTAATAGGCCCAGGACTGGGTCACCACATCCCTCCTACCTGATGCCCTCATTCATAGCTGCCAATCTACCAAAAGCTCTTATTACATTGGGCAAAGTGGCACATGCCTCTAATCCCTGCGGCTCGGGAGCTGAGGTAGGAAGATCACAAGTTTGAGCCCAGCCTGGGTAACTTAGTGACTCAGGGAGACCCCGTCTCAAAGTTAAAAATTATAAAGGAGTTGGGTTGCAGTTCAGTGCAAAGGCCCTAGGTTCAATTCTTAATACCAAAGAAAAAAAAAGTTCTTACTGAGCCTGAATCCCAGCTACTGGGGAGGCTGAATCAGGTGGATTGCAAGCTTGAGGCCAGTCTGGACAACTTAACAAGACTGTCTGAAAAGGGGGAGCAGGGGATGTGGTTCAGTGGTAAAGAACCTCTAGGTTCCATCCTCACTTCTACAAAAAAAAAAAAAATGCTTATTAAAGAGTGGCAAAGGGTTAAAAAACATCCAATGCATGTTTAACCCCCACACCACTTTTGAAATCAAAGAGGAGACTCGCAGGCCCTTCCAGGTCGCAGCAGGAAGGTAGGTGATGACAGCAGCCTAGAATGGGCTCTTGCCACCAACTCAGAGCTTCCTGTCCCTGCAAATCAGTCATTCTGACTCTTGGGTGCCCATTAAACCCTCCCAGGAGATCTGAAACGAGGCCAGGGCTAGTTGAGCCTCAATGCCCAGGAGGAAGGCCAGGCTTGAGAATTTTCTAAAGCTGCCCAGGTAGGGTTGCCAGATAAAATATAGGACACCTGGCTAAATTTGAATTTCAGATAGACAGTGAATGAATTTCCTAGTATGGCTATGTCCCACATTTTGCATAGGAGATGTACATATATATATTTATTTATACCAACAAAGGTGTTGTCCGCACTGTGGCCGTGGTTGGTTCTCTCATCACTTTTGCAGGACATCAAGGCACAGGGCTCTGAGAAAGCCCAGGGCCAGGGGCAGACATCCTGCCTCTGCCACACCCAAGTTGGGCCCTTGCAACGGTCACTCTGGGGTTCCCCCCAGCTTCAGTGCACCCTGAACATCACCCCTCTTGTTAGAATTTGCAGCAGTTTGATTTATTTGCTCTGGGGCTGAGCGCCACCAGGCCAGGGAGCAGGCCTGCCTTGTCCCCTGGTGTTATCTCAATAGGACACCCGGGCACGAGAAGTACCCACTGCTCATGGGCAGGAGAAACAAACTACTCGGTCCAGGGAGGCAGCGATCCATCTCCCGGTCTGTGTCCCTGCGAAGTGTAAAGTGATGCGTCTTTGTCGCTCCACCAGCAGCCCAGGGTTCAGCCCCTCTGCCGTCCCTGGGAGCCGGTTAGAAATGCAGAGTCCCGGTCCGGCCCGGGCTTCCTGAGTCTATAGAATGCATTGCTCCCGTCTCCAAGCCTCAGTTTCCACTGCTGGAAAATAAAAGGCAGGAGAGTCTTTACCACCTCCGCCCAGCACGTGGGTGCAAGGGGCGAACGGGGCTTCGCTGTTTGCAGGTTGCATCTCCGCTGTGGCCGTGGCCTACATATAACACAGAGCTCTCCACCTCCTCCCCGGCTGGCCCCTTCCTCTCTGTGCTCCTCTGCTCTGGGCCCCTAAGTTCCACCTGACTTTGTGTGACTTCCTCAGCTCCCACCCACCTACCCCTTCTGTTTCCAGCGGCAGGCAGAGCTGTCCAGGTGCCTTCCGTCCGTTTCTGTGGCTGGAAACAAGCGCTTGCAGCGTCTGCCTGCAGGAGGAGGTCGGGGTAGGGGCTGCTCCCAGGCGAGGGGGCTCAGGCAGGCTCAGGTCCCCTGCCCTCCGTTCTGTCTTGTTGCAAATGCGCCGCTTGATGCAGGCCTGAGCAAACACGTCCCTGAGCTGGGGGCAGTGGGGCTGCAGAGGGGAATTAACATTTTTCTCTCCCGCCCCTCCTCCCTCCGCGCGGCCTCGCGGGGATCGCTTCCAATTACAGACGGACCTCGAAGTCCGGCGTCGCCTTCACTCCGCGCCTGCTCCGGGGTTTCCGGAGGAGTGAGCCTACATGCATTACTGTTCTTCGGCGTCCGGGCAGGGCGCTGGGCGCTTTACAAACATTTTTATGGGGTTACTGGGGGAATAAAAATGAAACACAGGGTTAATGCATTTTCTGAGATCGAAAATTCCATCAACTGTGGCTTTTTTCCCTCCATTGAATATCAACCACATTAAATGTTAGAAGTCGACTGTGTCCTGGCTGCTCGAGGGGTGGTCCGCGGATGCACCGACACCCACATCACCTGAGAACTCGGCGGAAACGCAGACCGTGGGAAAGGCAGACCGACCGAGTCTGCATTTTACTGGCACCCCCGGGGGATGTCTGCACATTAAAGCTGAGGAGGAACGGTTACAAAGCACACTTCGATTTCACCATCTCTAAGATACAGAGGGGGACACACACGTTTTAGGATCAAACACAGTTTATGAGGAACCTGGGGCTCAGAGAGGCAAAGTTACTTGCCCAAGGTCCCACAGTTTAAAAGAGCCAGAGACAGACACAGCTCAGATCTCCCACACCTTACTGCCTGGAGCTTGAGTCAAAGGGATTAGAAGAGGCAGCCGCAGAAGAAGGGAAGTTTTACGAAAGACCCTGCAGGACTTACCGTTAGAGGCGTCGCTGTGTCACATGGCCCTCATCAAACATGTGGTGGTGATCTGCACGGAGGAGCTTGCCGCTGGCCAGGCAGGGTCACGTCTGCGTGGCTCCCCCAGACAGGCCCGCACCACACAGTCTCAATTAGCAGCTGTCCCTTCCCAGCACGTCCCCGAGTCCCTGCACCCTGGGTGGCACTTGTCTCTGGCTAAGGTGCTACTGCCCACTTGCTGGCTGGTCCATAATCTGACCTTCCCTGCTGGAATGTCAGCCCCTTATGGGCAGGGATCCTGCCTGCAGGAGCCTGGAGAGGCCCTGGTCCCAGTAGGTGCTCAGTGCATATTGGTTAAGTCAGTTGATGAGTGCGGATGGATGGATGGGTGGATGGCAGGTGGTGGATGGGTGGATGCATGGGTGGATGGAAGATGGACGGTGATTTATGTATGAAAGGGTGGATGGTGGTAGATGGATGGGTATAGATGGTTGATGGGTTGATGGATGGATGGATGGATGGTTGAATTTTAGACAGCCAGAAGGTTTGGGAAGGGCTTGCTTTCCTATTCTAGACTTTGAACCTTCAAAGAAAACTCTCCAGCGAAAACAAAACCACTTTAAAACATGATTCCCATCGACACTGAAACAAGTCTCATCATGAAAGAAGACAGTTTAAAACAAAACTAGCATTTGCCTGGCAATAATCTCTCATCTCTGACCTTTAAGCAAATACGTTATTTAGAAAATCAAAACACCATGATCACTACTTCCTGCTTTCCTCGCTCCATGTTTGTCCCCTGTGGGAGTCTGGGCACCCCCTGCGATTCGGGGAACACTGAGCCTTCTCTCTGCAGGCTGTGTTTAGCTTGAGACCAGGCTCGCACTCTCTCTGAGCAGGTCCCGGAACATCCTCCTGTGTGCCAGTGACAGGAAAACTTCCAGTCTTTCAGGTGGGGTTTGCCTGGGGCCAGGGACAACGGCTCATTGAGCAGAGACCCGGGTATGTCCTTGGCCAAGCACCTCTGTTCAGGAACCACCCTGCCCATCTATTTTGGCAGCCTTGTCTGACCCCTCTAGGAACGGTTTGTCTGGGACACAAAGGATCAAAGTCACCGGCGGTCACTTTGTGTCCCAACCTGATCTTAGGATAAATCTTCGGTCTCAATCTTAGCTTCGGCCCTGCAGCCTGCTCCTAACCCCCATGCTGCCCACAGCGCCGTCCTTTCTCTCCCTGTCTCCATCTCTCCCGCTTCTTCCCTCCTCCCTCCTGCACGCTCCCTTCTCTGCCCCCCGTTTTCCTCTGCAGTTACTTTGCTACAGGATTCAGCAATAACAACACCCCCGACTCCCAGCACTGTGGGCTCCACCAGGTGGCAGTGGCAAGGATGAGACACAGGCCCCTTCCCTCTGCCCTGGGGACAGGTGTGGCTGCCAGGCCTGCCCGTGTCTCTGCTCACCTGTGGATGGTGCTGAGGATGGTGGCCAGGGTCCCCGCATCGAGGACGGGGCAGAGACTGGAGCCCAGCCATGCAGAACATAAATCCTAGAACTGGATCCAGGCTTGCATCTCCCCTGGCTTAGCAGATGTTAGTCCAGGCAAAGGACTGGACCTGCGGGACCCTCTGTCTCTTCTTTTTGGAACTGAATAAAGATGGTGGTGTTAAAAAAAAAGATGGCGGTGTTATGAGGCTGCAGGGACTCCATGGAGAAAATGCAGGGAGGGAGGCAGCTGGCCTCACCTAGTGACAAAGACCCGTTGCTCTCAGGAGCCCAAGGACATTGGCAAGATGAGCAGATGGCCCCAGGCTGGGGCGTTTTCTCCACCAGTGGGCGGCACATCGGTAGTCTGGAGCTTCATCCTCTGTGGGGACTGGGATGCGGGCTCAAGGGTGCTGGTTCTGGCTCGCTTGTGGGTCTCTGGACTGGGAACTTCAGACCCAGCCTCCTCCACCTCAGAGAGTGCAGATAAACCCCGTGGGGGAGGGTTGAAAAGTGCTCTCTGCACACTGAGAAGTGCTTTGAAATGTGGGCACTTTGCAAACTGCAGAGTGCTAGCAAGCCAGGAAGGACTTTGTAAAATTGAAACCCATTGGTTCTGGTCCCTGCCCGGCCCAAGTCCCCTGAAAATGGCGGCCTTGGTTTCTCAGCTCAGCATAAGGAAAAGAGGGGCTGTGGCACTCTTGTGGTGGAAAACCAGGAGGGAGGGCGGGCACAAGGTGCCAGGGTCCAGGGTGGCTGTGTCCTCAGGCCCTGGGCACTCCCTGTCCAGGCCCAGGTCAGCCAATCCTGAATTGGTGTTTCCTCAAGGTGTTTTGGGGTGGAGGGAGGACCCTTCACCTGGGGTCTCTGCAGCTCTGATAGGCAGATTTCTGAGGTCTCGCGAGTCGCTCCCTGTGGGTGGAGCCTGGGAACTGCAAGGCATCCGGCCCTTTCCTGAGGGCCAAGAAGCCTCTATCCATGGTGCCGAGTAACCCAGGGCCAGCCACACCACAGAGCAGATGCCGCCCAAATGAACTGAAGGCGTGAAACCCGTGCAGGCCCCAGGCTCCTCGTCTGTGACCTGGGAGGGACGGCCATCCCAGCTTGCTGTCTGTCCTTTGAGGCAATTTAAACTTTGGTCCTTCTGAGAGCAGAGCAAACCAAGCAGAGGGACTCTTAGCATTTGGAAGGGTCAGAGGGCCGTGTGTGTGTGTGTGTGTGTGTGTGTGTGTCAGAGACAGGGGGAGAGAGAGACAGACAGACAGATACAGAGAGGTGAGACAGAGACAGACTGACAGACAGACTCCTATTTCTAAGTACCACAGAATTCAAGCTGCAGCCGAAGTACTAGTAATGCTCTGTGCACTTGAGACCTCCAAAGGACTGACTTCCTGTCCCCCTCCAAACCGTCTGCCTGAGCTGGGGGTCCAAGTCTGGGGTGGGAGGAGGGTGTGGGTAAGACAAGGGTAAACCAGTGTTGTCTGGGTTAAAAGCAGGTTCCTGATGCGGGGAGCCCTGTGTGGCCATGGGGACCCTGTCCGGGACTGTCCCACTGAGGACAGTCCCCCCCCCCCGACTCCCACCCTGGATCTGCCACCTCCGGACTCCCGCCGTATCTCCCACCCCTGGCTCCCCTGGGCACCTTGGAGAAAGTGCTCAAGCAGACAGGCAGGCAATGCAGAAACAGTGGCTCCTGGGGCTGGGGACACCAGGCTCAGCAGGGCCTCCTGTATCTGAAAAGCCACCCTGGGCCTGCACCTTGGTAGTGCCTGGAGGGTGTGAGGCCCCAAGTTTCATGCCCCGCACTGCAGGACAGAACAACAAAGCCCAGCCCATCCCCAGCCCCCAAGTCTTCTCTGCCCACCCTCCCCGTCACTGTCCCTGTAAAAGGCGGTGAGGATTTGAGCCATTTTAAGGGCTCTAAGTGACATGTGCTGGACACAAGTGGGGCATAAGAGTCAGATGGAAGGAAGGAAGAAGGGAGGGAGGGAGGAAGAATGAAGGACACCAATACCTCCAGTTACACACGAGGCGATCACATTCATTATCTCGTGAAAACCAACACCAGGAGTCTATGCAGTAGAGAACATCTTCTGAGTTTTCTAACGAAACAGGACCAGAGAGGTGAAGTCACCTGCCTGAAGTCACACAGCAGAGCATGTGCTCTTTCTCATCTCTCCCACATCCTCCTCTTGACCTCCACTGATTTTGCAGGTGAATGTTGTCAGCTGTCACCCAGGTCCTGCTGCGCGGGTCATCCCCTGGAGGTACACAGTACCAACATCCCCCAGAATAGTCAGGCGTGTACTCTCTTGGGCCCCAGGCCTACTGCATCAGAATCTGCATTTGAGCCAGATGCCTGGGGCATTTGTGCGCATGCTCAAGGCTGAGAATCACTGGCTTAGACAAACCCGGGGACCAGGACAGCATCTTCCTTGTACTTAGCTAAGACTCCAAGGGAGTGCTTTCCTGGCCTGTGCAAACGTTGAAAAATAAAGCAAGCCCAGGTCTGTACAGCTGATGGGAGGGGGGTGATTAGCCGGGAATCGAACAAGCATATGTGTCTGGCAGTCTGCAGTCCCCCAGTGTGCATGGAGCACTGCATCTCGCGGGTGCAGATCTGTGGGTCACTGGCTCGGGGCAGGGTGCAGTGCCAGTGCACTGGGAGGGATCACCAAGCACCTATAATTGTCATTCCATGAATAGCAGCTGAGACGCGGTCAGGACACAGGCTGTGGAGAGGCAGGTGCCACCTAGGAGCCCAGGGCTGGGGAGAGGACCATGCAGAGACAGCGAGGGGATGGGGCTCAGCCGAGGGCTGGGATCAGGGCTCAGGTTATAACTCAGGCAGTCTGTGGCTGTGCTCAGGGTTTGGTCTGTAACAAGAATCAAAGCTCAGACTGTGACTGATCAGAAGTCAGTCTGCAACTGGGATCAGGGCTCAGTCTGCAATGGGGATCAGGGCTCAGCAGGGCTTCTCTGGAGCCAGGACTGAGGTTCAGACCTTGAGCAGGCTTAGGCCTCCCCTGTGGCCCATCAGCACACACCTGCTTGCCTCTTTGGGGTTGAATCTTGCATTGACCCAGCACATCCACCTGCAGCCCACCCTCAGTGCCCGGGACATCGGCCTGCCTCATTTCCCGGGGACGGGCGTCCCTCCCTTGCCCACAGCCTCGGTGAGCCTGGCGAGGCCGGGCATGGCCACGGGCACCGAGGGCTCCGGGCTCTGCCACCCCCATGCCCGCCTGCCGCCTCCCTCCCGCTGCCGCCAGCTGCCGGCTCCGTCTGCTCTCGCTCTCCCCTCTCTGCCTTAGAGACAGCTATAAGTCTCCCGTGAAATATATACAGTGTAAATATATAAAAAGCTTGTGCCTGCCTGCTGCTTATGTATTCATGAAATAGTAAATAAATTTTATGGGATAATTTGAAGGCTGCCAGGAAGCCGGGAGATGAAAACGAAGGCCTAATGAGATGGAGTATCAGGGCGGCACACGCACAATCGATCCGCCGCTGCGTGGCCCGAGCCGGGACAGCCCGTCTCCCGTGGCCCAGGGCCATGCTGATGAGACACTTCGAGGCCTTCCGGGGCTCATAAAGCATGGGCGGCCATGGCGGGGGAGACCCAGCGGGGGACTGACAGCCTCCTTCTGGGAGACCTGGGGCTGAGCAGACGCGGGCTGGGTCTGTTCCTAGCCCTCTCGGGCCTTGCTGTGTGACCTCGAGCCTGTCGTGTCCCCGCTGTGTGCCTCGGTTTCTCCGTGTGCACAGTGCTGCTCTGCCGCTCCTCTTTCTGCCTTCCTCCTTCCCCTGCTGGTATGTCTTACAGTGGTAACGAGAGGCTTATTTTATGCTCACTGGGCTTGGATCACTCTCCACTTAACTCCCACTTCCTTGGAGCAGGGTTCCTGCCTGTGTTGTTAGTGTTGGCTTAGCCTGGTTCCTGACAGGAATGTCCCATCCCCAGAAATATGCACTGATTCGATGGCTAATGGGATGGACGGGTGGGTGGGTGGACGGGTGGGTGGATGGGAGGAAAATCAAGAACAGATCCAATCCCGCCCCGTACTCTGCACCTCTGCATCACCACCTTGATCCAAACCACCATCCTCTTGTGCTCTGTCTACTGCCGCAGCCTCACTTCCTGTCTCCGGCCCCACCAGGGCCCCCACAGTGCACTCTCCCCACAGCCACCAGAGGGCCCCTATTGAAGCAAAGAATCAGACCGAGACCTACTTTTGCTCAAAATTCTCCCACTGCTCAGCCCGAGTCCACCCTGGGTCAAACAAGGCTCTGTACGAGCAGCCATAAGCCCCTCTGGCGACTCCACCCTTCTACCCACTACTCCTTCCCTCCTCTGCAGCTGCTACTGGCCTCGCTGTTCTCCACAGGGCCTTTGCACTGGCTCTTTCCTTCTGCCCGGCTATCCTCAGAGCAAACACCTCACCTTCTTCAGATCTCTGCTATGATCCTGTTTTCTCTCGAGGCTTCCCTGACCCCCTTTAAAAACACAGCCGGTCTTGTCTTGTGCGTTCCCCTGAGCACTTAGTTTCTAACTGGTTCTAACTGTTGGTCTCTGGCTTCTGCCTGTGAGAACGTGAGCTCTGGCGGGGCAGAAGTTTTGTCCGGTTGCTCAGAGCTGAGCCCCCCGCACCAGGGGCACTCAGCAGACCCTCGGTCTATAGTGGTTGGTTGACTGAATGCATGGATGGATGGATGACCAAGGGACCTCCCAAGGCCAACTCCATGCGCTTTCGAGGTGCGTCAGGGGTGGGCAGTGGGGGGGTGGGGGAGGGGCAGGACGGCATGTGCCCACACAGCAGTGTCACCTGACAAGCTGTCACCTGACGTTTGGGATCTTACTCGGGGCACAGGGGTCAGCCGGGACCCGGCTCTGCCACCTGCTAGCTGAGCGGCCTTCGGGAGTCAGTCCAGGCTGGGCCTCGGCTTTCTCTTCTGCAACATGGGGGCAGTGAGTCTCGTGGGTGCCTCATGGAATGAGGCTGAGGAGGAAGGCAGGCGGTCAAGGGAACCCCAGCAGGCAGAGAGAAGGTGACGTCGGTCACCTCTGCGGGATGTTGTGAGATGCTGTGTGCCTCACACATGCAGCAGGAGGGACAGGCCCCCCCCACTGATTTACATGAGACACACACGGAGTACAGGCAAAAAGGTGGGAGGTGCATGAACTGCTGGAAATAAAATGCCAAGCTCCAGGCCTGGCACGAAATACGTGCTCAGTCAGTGTCCCTAGAATCGTGTGAAATGAGGGCCAGCGCCTCCTCCTCACCACCGCCGTGGGTCCCCTCCCTGCAGAACACACCGGGGGTCACACCTGTGGCTTCTGACCCCCTGCTGGCAGGTTCTCCCCAGAAGCTGCTTGCTTGGCACTGATGTGATTTTCCGCGTTCAAGCAGGGACACGAGCGCCTTAGCCACGGTCTCCCTGTGCCGGAAATAGGTCAGCTCTGGAAATCAAACACTGTGCTCAAGGGCCTTTGCACCCCATCAGTGCTTCTCTCCTCTCCTCCTCCTGGCGCTGTCTCCCTGCCCCAGTCCCCCTGCCAGCTCCCCTGCAGCGATGAATGTGCAGCTGGGAGGCAGGGGCAGCAGGACTTTGTCCTTACCCTGAGAAACTTTACCAGTGAGCTCTCTGAGCCCACCTGGAGGGGCAGATCCCAATCTCAGCCTGTACCATACCCTGCCCCTCCTTCTGCAGGAAGAAGCTGGGATCTCTGCTGCCCAACTCCGACTTCCTGTAGGCAGAACAAGCAAAGAACCAAGAGGGCAAGGAAGCAAAGAGTCAGGAGCCACCTGCGTCCTGGGGCTCGCCACCTGCTCCCACGGGCCACCTTGCATGAGGGACGGTACCCATCTGAGCCTCAGTTACCCCAGCTGCAACATGGGCACGAGATGGCGGGGTCAGGATCAAAACCTGGTAAAGCGCTGAGCAGGTCTTAAGGGCTCAGCGTGGAGAAGACCAAGCCTCCCTCTGCCCCTGTCGGCCAGCCCCTCCCTCCCTGCCACACCCCCGGCCTTCCGGGTCAACTAGATACTAATTCAATTGCTTATCGCCGGGGATTTAGCTCAGTGGTTCTGCCTGCCTCTCAAGCAAGGTGTGGAGTTCGATCCCCAGTACCAAAAACAACAACAACAAAACTTGCTTCTCTGCATTGTAAATATCTTTTCCAGGCTGTAGCCTACCCTTTCACTTGGTTGTTTTCACTTGTCTTTAGTTGCAAGGTAGTTTTAAAATTTTAATGTATCACTTTTCCTTTAGAGTTTGTGCTTATCATGAATAGTTTAGGAAAATCTATCCAGCTACCTCGTGATGAGAAAACTAATGTATTTTTGTCTAACATATGAAAGTTTTGCCTTTTCACATTTAATTCTTTACCCACTTGGAATCGATGTGTGTGGTGTGAGGGAGGGATTCACTTCTCACCCACTGGGTAAAACAGCTCATCACTTGGCCCCCGTGACTGCTAATGCTTCCTTTGTGAACATCAAGACCGGGCCCCTTTCTAGATTCTTTTATCCCAGTCCCTCGGCGGAAGCTTCCTTTGCTTCTTCTTCATGGTTACCAGTGGTCCTGCCTCCCCTTCCCCAGCTTTACTTTCTTCTGACTCCAAAATCAGAGAGAAGAATCTGAAGCCAGCCTTGTTGCTAATTCGCCACATGACCTGGCACTGTGACGTCACAGTGGCCGCTGTGTCCATAGACAGTGGGGCGTTTTCAGCTCCATTATAATCTTACGGGATCGCCATGCAGTCTGTCCTTGACCAAGACGTTACATGGCACGTGACTGTATGTGCCCACCTCAGGGCCGTCACACAGGCTGTTCCTGGCATACTCCTGCTCCAGGTGACCATGCGCTTTTCTCCTTTGTCCAAAGTCTGCACCTGATACTGCAAGTCCACACCCAACATTTCTTATCCCTTCCTTGATTCTTTGTACTCCCGGGTGTTCCCAACGGTCAAACACGTCCTTACCCATTCTACTGTTTTATCTTGTTTGCTTTCTCTCTCTCTCTCTCTCTCCTGCACATCAGTCCTGTGAAGGCAGAGATTCTAACTTGCTCTCCTCTCTCTGCACCACAGAGACACTGGGGCCAGACACCAGGGGGCTGTTGAGTGGCTCAGCTTCTACCTGCCCATGGGAAACCCTAAGCTCTGCAGAGGCCTGCAGAGGGCTGGACAGCTCTTGGAACGAGGCCTGGGCATAGAAGTCTGCACCCAGCCTCAGGGCTCAGAACCCAGGGCAGGGATGGGGAGATCGGTACGTGGCATCCCAGCACCCGTCCCTTCTGCAGCCACCTCCTCAATGAGGTAGAGAGGCCCTTTCCTCTCTCCCTCTCCTCCAAAGCCGATCTTTATATTGATTTCTCCACCTCCACCTGCAGCTGCAGCCAGCCAGAGTAGCGAGACTGAGAGTGTCGTTTTGCTTAAGAGCTGTGGTCTCAGGTGTACAGCACCACCAGCAGCTGCCACGTCAGGCTACAAGGCCTGGCGCCTGGCACAGGCACCCTGGGGCTCTAGAGAGAAGCGTGCCAGCTCCCTTCTCTTCCAGCATCCCCTCGGAGCAGGCTGAGTCACTCTTCCATGCCTTCAGCATTGCCTCAGTGCCTAGTGTACCCAGGCTCCATCCGAAAGCTCCATCAGTAGGCGATTCATTCAATTAATATTTAATGAGCACCTACTGTGTGCCGGCATTGTTCCAGTTAACACCCAGTCCTCTATTTGCAGGTTCCACATGCGGTGGATCCAACCAGCGACAGAGCAAACACATTCCAGAAAGGGCTGAGAGGTATAGCTTAGTACTAAGGCTTGTTAGCATGTGTGAAGTTATGGGTTTGATTCCCCAGCACCACCAGAGAAATTTTAAAAATTTTTAAAAAGCCATGTACATTGGTATATTCCCATAATCCCAGCACTCTGGGAGGCTGTGGCAGAAAGGTAAGTCTGAGCCCAGCCTGGGCAATTCAGTTACTCCGTGAGACGCTGTCTCAAAATTTAAAAAGTCTGGGGATGTAGCTCAGTGCAAGGTCCTGGGTTGAATCCCCAGCACCTCAAAACAAGAAAGAAAGAGAAAAAAGATTGTATCTGTATTAAACAAGTGCAGTTTGTTTTCTTATTCCCTGAGTAGCATTTATTTACACAGCACTGACAATGAATCAGGTATTAGAAGTAATCTAGAGATGATTTGTGCTTAGGTGCTATGCAAATCTACACAATTCGAAATAAAGAACTTGCACATTCAGAGATCACGGAAGGGTGGGGTCATAGAACCCAACTCCTACGGATACCAAGGGCCAGCTGAGCTGGATACAGGCCTGAAAAACGGATAAAAATCGCTGACCCTTGTGAGCGGGAAACAAGGAGAGTTTTAAGCAAGTTACACAGTGTAGTGTATCGAGCGATGATAAATGCAAAGGCAAAAAAGAACATACGTAAAGAAGGCAGTGGATGGCGAGGCGGTGGGCTGCAGTTTTCTGACGGTGTCAGGGCAGCCTCTGAATCAAAGGTGGTTATGTGAGCAGACTTGGAAGAGGGAGGGAGCTGCCTGGACGAGGAGAGGAGGCAGCTGTTGGCAATGTGGGGCCCGACAGCCAGCGCCGGAAGTGCAAGCCCAGGGCCGGAAGTGCAAGCGGAAGCGGAAATAGCAGCGCCAGGTGCAAAGGCCCTGAGTTCTAGGGAATACTCAGAAACCAGTACTCCTGGAGGGACCAAGGGGGGCAGGTGGCAAACTGGGTGAAGTCACAGGCGAAACCCTGCGAGGCGCAGCGTGACCTGGTGAGGACTGGTGTGCTGCCTCTGCTCTGAGAGGGGAGCGTGGGAGGTTCGAGTGTGAGATGCAACGTGTTCTGACAAATTATAACTGGAACACTCTGGCTGCCGGCAGAGAACAGTCTGAGGCAGGGAAAGAGAAGAACACGCCAGGGTGTGTTTTTATTTCACTCCTTTACTGGCAGACACTGCCTTAATTTCTAGCTATCACGGCTACACTACAGTGCACTGCCCGGGGAGACTGAGTCCCCACGGTCACAAGTATAAGGTAGAGCCCGATGGCCTGTCTGGGAGGCCGGACAGAATATTATGTGAGAGGGCAAGGGGAGGGCCCAGGGTCTTTTGTTCTTAGTTTTCTACTTTCTTATCTTTCCTCTCCATCCCCATCCTACTACCACCTAGACTGATGGGTCAGAATCTAGTTGTGAGTGAGAGGAACCCACATCAGATTGGTTTAAAGACATAAGAGGAACTGATTGGATGACAAAATTGAAGAGAGTCGCAAAAGTTCAGGCTTCAGGCACAGTTGGACCCAGGAGATGTTCCTTGGAATTGTTTCTCTCCAGCCTTTGGGTCTGCTTTACTTGCTTTGACCTCGAAGGCTCTCTTCACATGGTGACAAGAACGGCCACTAGCCACTGGCTGACATCCTTGCACTTGGGCAAGCTACAGACCAGTTCTTCACCTATGAAGTACCAGCCTAGAAGCTTATTGGCCCAGCCAGGTCATGTGCGTATCTTTAACCAATCATTGTGGGCAAGATATGACATGCTCTGATTGGCTGGAGCTGGCCTCATGCCCACCCCTGACACTAATGAACAGCTGTGCCTGAGCTATAGCAACTGAGAGAGAAACAAGGCAGTTCTTCCAAAGGTTGAGAGGCAGAGAACTATTAAGAAGGGGTGGGTCCTAGGCTGACCAGCAATGCTGGGACCACCGGAATAACCCATAAATCTTTTGCAATCACGCATTTTCCTGAGTTGGAACCCAAAAGCTCACGAAACACTGTCAAGGGCAAAACGCTGTGGGAAGCTCAGTTACAGTTGTTTGCAAACAAAGTAAGAGCTATAAACATAAGACTTGGGGAGGTCTGCGCTTAGCCCAGAGCCCCAAGGCCATCTGGGCCCCTGCCAAGGTAGAAGCTGCAGGAAACAACAGAAACACAGCAGGACAGGGATGCTTGATGGGAGGAGGCCCTGAATCCTACAAGCTGCAGAGCCAGCGATGTCTAACAAAATAACCGTCCCTGCTCTGCCATCCCGGCCTCCACATGGGCCAGAAAACAACCCCAAATCGTGTGACTCAAAACATCGGGTACAGTTGTTTGCAGCAAATGGATTTAGACAGTGAATCCCCTGGATGTTTGTTGTTAAAATGCCCTACACTGTAATTAGCAGCTTCCTAGAGGCTGAGGCAGGAGGATCACAAGTTCAAGCCCAACCTGGGCAACTTAGCAACTTAGAGAGACCCTATCTCAAAATTTAAAAGAAAGTTTTTTGAGGGGCTGGGGATGTGGCTCGGTGTAAAGGCCCTAGGTTCAAAATATAATAGCTTTCTCAAATACGAAAAATATAAATGTTCTTTTTTCTCCCTGTAGGGTCCCTTCCTCTTTTTCCATAGCATGTTTCTTTGATGGTTGATGTTCAGGCTGGCAGAAAGCTCAGAACTTGGTTTGCGAGTGACCTTGAGGGTCTGGAACCCGCATCACCTTTTCTTTTTTCTTTTTCTAACTTTGGTTCTGGCGCTGTTTAATTTTATTATCTTTATGATCGTGTTGTAAATGTCCTTCAGCTCTTTGGGGAATGGTGGAGTGTGAGTTCAGCCTACGAGTATGAGTAAGATAGAGACACCTTGCGATTAGAGATTTGGGGAAGCCGCCAGCAGGCAGACCCAGGACAGTTTCGTAGTTTGAGCAGTATAATTTATGTGTCTGTGTGGTACTGAGACTGAAGCCAGGGCCTTCCCACTGAGCTGCATCCACAGCCAGTTTTTCGTTTTGAGACAAGTACTTGTTAAATTGCCCAGGATGGGCTCAAAGTCATGATCCTCCTGCCTCAGCCTCTCAGAATGCTGGGATTACAGGCGTGTGCCACCGTGCCCAGCTGTGATATAGTCTTAAAGCCAAGAGAAGTGGGTATCTTAATTGGTTAAGGCTGCTGTAAGAAAATACCATACATGGGGGGGGGGGTTACACACTACAGAAGTTAGTGCCCTGTTAGTAGGGCTCCCACCCATGACCTAACCTCCCTCCACCCCGCCTCCTAAGGCCAGGACAGCGATGCTTAGGTTGGAAATCAGGAATTTTGGAGGGATGCAAACATTCAGACTGTAGTTGTATCACCTGGAGTGGATTACTTAGCCACTCTAAACTCTCATTGTCTGATGTTCACAGTGGAGTTACTTGGCTCCAAAAAGGCAAATTAAAACTGCAAGGAGACCCCGTCACCTGCAGACTAGCAAGACTAGAATCAGACTGACAACACCAAGGGCCGGCAAGAGTGTGGGGCAAACCGAATAACCTGCACTCGGTGACGAATCCACTCGGACTCTTCCGTCACCAGCTGGCGAAAGGCTGCTGGGAAGGCAGAGTGGGCCGTTTGGACATGTGCGCAATGACGCCCTCTGAAGCCAAACCTGCCTTTACCCTGTGAGACAGCAATTTCACTCCTAGGTATTTCTATGAAAGATAAATGCAAATTTATGTTCACAGAAAGATTTGCATAGCCACTTTACTCCTAATGGCCCCAAAGTGGAAACAGCCCTGGGTCCTCCACAGGCAAAGGGATAAACACCCTGCAGTGGGAACCACTCACTGGGCAGTAACGAGGGAGGGCTGGGAATGTGCACCAGGACACAACATGCAGAGCGGATGCTGAGCAGAACCTCAGAACGACAGTGCTTGTGTCACCCGGGGATTTAGCTCAGCGGTTCCACCGCCTGTCTTGCAAGTGCAAGGTCCCGAGTTCGATCCCCAGTACCAAAAAAAAAAAAAGACATAGCAATGCCATTGCCTCTGGGGGTTGAGGATTGGCTGGGAAGGAGATGGGAACGTTCTGTGTTGTTTATTGGAGTTTGGGCTGCTCCATTGATATTTGTGAGAACCCATCAGGTTGTACCCTTGCTGTTTGTAAATGTTACAAAAAATGGAAATGGACCCCAACAAATACTGCTACCAGTGAATGAAAGGTGTGCTGAAGGGATTAGGGGGAAATGCCCGCCAGTTTTTTTGAATTGCATTAAAAAATGAGATGTACTGACAGAGGGATGGGTGTGGGGGATGAAGCCGTCTGTGATAACAACAGAACGCTAATGGGAGAATCCGGATGGCAAATATGTGGGTGTTTGCTCAAAAGTTCTTTTGCCTCCATGGAACATTTCACGATGGAATGTTGGACGGAATGAGTCAGGAAAACCCACCTGGACTCAAGGACTTAGGGGGAGTCAGCACAGTGGCCAGTAGGGAGAGGACCCCAGCCTTGGGAACGGGCACAGGTAGAGACACAGAGCACTGCAAGACTTGACAGGACGATTCCTTCCTCCTAGCTGGGTACGCTGGCCCACGTCTGCCATCCGAGTGCTCTGGGAGGCCGAGACAGGAGGATAGAAAGTTTGAGCTCAGCCTGGGCAAGTTAGCAACTTCGTGAGGGTTCAAAATCCACAGATTCAATCAGTGGTGGGCCATGGATTTTCAGGGGGGAAACGCTTCTGTACTGAGCACGTACAGTTTAGCCCTGGGCGTTACCCCCTAAACAGCACAGGAAGCAGCTGTTTACATAGCGTTTCCGTTGTGCCAGGTGTTACAGGTAACGGAGGTGTGACATAAGCAGGTGCACAGGTTATATGCAGAGTGCGCCATTGTACATAAGGGACTTGAGCATCGTGGATTTGGGTATGGGTGTTGTTTTCTTGTTTGTTTTTTGTTTGTTTTTTGCAGTATTGGGACTGAACCCGGGGCACACTTCCATTGCACTGGATCCCCAACCCTTTTTATTTTTTTACTTTTATTTTTTGAGACATAGTCTCACTAAAGTTGTACTTGCACTCTCCTGCCTCAGCCTCCCATGTAGCTGGGATTTTGGGCATGCACTACCACATGGGGTTTGTTTTTATTTTTCTCATACTAACATGCTACATACTCCTCTACCATCACGATATGCTTTTCATTTGTTTTACTTTACCCTATCCTGGTGATCCTTCATAGTCACATCTGTCGTCTGCCCTCATGCTTTTATAGGACTGCATAGTATTCCACTGGGTGGATTAAAGCATAGTTGCTGGATCCCACATTGACAGCTTGTGTACATCTCCATTGCTCCTTAAATCTTTTGAATGCTGTCATTGTTTTAAAGACTGAAACGGAACCTAACATCTCTTCATAAATGAATCGGAAAGGAGGGGGTTTCTCTGGTCAAAACCCACAGCACATCATTAAAGTCCTTGGGCTTCCGCTCTCCAGCTTTTATTCAATTATCCCAATTTGTCCTTTCAAATAGATGTCTTTTCTTAAGTAGTGATTTACCACAATTAAGCCCCCCAAAATTAAATTAAATGAATTACGTCTCTCAGGTTGGGTGTCTGCAGGAACCAGGGCTGGGTGCAGTAATGTTCCAGATGCTATTAAAAGCCAAGACGGGAATGTGCGCTGGGTTAGAAGGGAAAATTCATAGCTCCACTGATACGCCATGATAAATAATTATGAGTTATTAATTTTAAATTACATCTTTAATGCGTTGCATGATTTTAATTCCCCCTACAGTATTAATATCGGACTGGCTTTGATTAATTTAGAGCAGAACAGAAAGGTGCCAATTAAGGGAGCTGGCTGGGAACTTTGAGGTGTTTATATCTGTCTGGGGTAACCCCACAGCGGGGGGCAAGGTCACTGCTCCAGGGAAGCCGGATTATCCCCAGGAGCCCAGGGTGGGCTGTGTCAGCCAGAGCCAGGATGAATGTTAACCCTTTCTCTGTCTTTGAGCTCCAGCAAGGAGAGAGGGAAACAGGAGAGAAGAGGGGAGAAGCCAAGCCCCCAGCCCTTACATGGGCCGGGAAGTGGGGCGCCCCAAGACCTCACAGCTGAGTCCAGGCCGGACTCCTGGGATCTGGGCTTGAACGCAGCCCTCAGGGCATGGGTTTGACCTCTCCGTGCCTTTGTGAGACTTCAAGGCTTGGAAAGAGGGGGTGACACTTGGTCAGTGGGAGCAGTGGCCCAAACATGGGAGCATCACGTGTACGATGCTGAGGTAGGGGTTCCCCTGAAGCTGGAAAGAGAGAAAGGAATTCAAGACCAAAGGTGGCCTTCGCTGCCCCGTTGTATCTGCTGTTTGATGGGGAGGAGACACAGGTCACTGAGGAGCGGCTGTGGAGGGGTTGTCATTGCAGCCGCGCAGCAGGGACCCCTAGGCTGGGACGGAGGAGGTGGCGCTTGATAAGCAGGAAGCTGCTGACTCTGGCCACTCTCTGTTAGAACCGGCGTTTGGGCTCATCTAGGAACATTTTAATTTTTTTAATTTAATAGCTCAGTGTTGAATCCATACCAGGCCATCTAGACTTTGGTTTTATGGATAGCATAAGGTAGGTAATAACTGATTTCAAGTTGTTTTTTTTAAAGCTACTTCCAAAGAAAATATTAAATAAAGCACAGGTGTGTGTGTGGCGTGTGACAGCGGCAAATAATAATGCTAATTTTGGCGATGATGTCCCAAGTAGTTGAGGAATATCAAATTAACGTCACCACAGTGGCAGAAGACAGAAATCTGGCTGAGGCTCTAAATTAATGACCCTAGTTGAAAATGAGCATGAAAAGAAGTCTCTGCGAGCCGGTGTGAATCTCTCACTTCCTCCTTTCGGTGACAGATGGATCTTGGTGTTGGAAAGCACATTCCCATTTCGTGCATTCGAGTCTTAAAATAATTCCGCACCGCCACCAGCGCCCGATCTCTGACTGTGGAGTGAGGGACGTGGACGGGAGGGTGAGGAATGGGGAAAAATCAGGAAGGAAAGGAGGGAGAAAACAGCCAGAGGAAATGCGAGAGGCCTGGCATGGCGAGGCCACGCCGAGGGACATTACAAGCCCTAAAAGTAGGCATTCTCACTGGTCCTTGTTCAGGATGGGGAAACTGAGGCAGCGGTACCCGCCAAGTGATCACGTCAGGTCCCCAGGTTTGGCATCCGCTGGGGGAGGCCTTGGGAAGGCACCGATCACAGGGTGGACAGCAGGAGCAGCTGCAGCTGGCTTCCGCTCAGAGCTCCTTCCTTCGAGAGAGGCTCTGGAGAGGGCCTAGGATCTGCAGGCTGGCGAGGGGCGTGGGGCCGGCTCCTCACATGGGCCACAGCACCTGCCCTGTGTGGGTCCTGGGCTACTGCTACAGCTCAATGACTCTTATCAACTCTCGCAGCACCCCTGAAGGGCAGCGGTGAGCCCCAGCCGGGGACCCACGACACAGAGGGCTTGGGAAAGCAGCCTGGCAGCCCGGCCAGCTAAGAGGCCAAGCGCAGGTACCGACCGAAACTGCTGCGCTCCGTCTTCACCAGCTTGTCCCGCCTCGGTGAGTCGGGGGACAGGGGCAAGGCCTCCGTCTTCTCACCACTTCGGGAGAGAAGGCCAAGGTCTGGGGAGGACGCACCCAGAGGCACGCAGGCGCCGGGCACGGTGGTGAAGAATGCTGATCTGTGGGGTAAACTAGGAAGGGAGGAGGGAGGAGACACGCAGCTACGAACAAGTCCGTTATCTCTGAAAGGATGGATGCTCTCAGCTTTCCCCAGGTCCTTGCTCGCTGAGTCATTCTGAGGATGAGAGGGGAACGCGCTACTCAAGCCCAGGCTGGTCCGATGGCAGAAGCCGTAAAGGGACAGCCCAGAGTCAAGAGCTGGGCTGCTGTGTGGTTGACTCTTAGCTCGGAAATTAGCTCTCTGTGTGACGTTCAGCAACTGTGGCTCTCTCTGGCCTCAGCCTCCAGTCTGGACGTTGGCAGTAACCGTTGTGGTTTGGATCAAGAATGTCCCCCCAAGAGCCTACCGTGGCAGAGCTGACTGGACCGTGGGTGCGTGTGTCTCACCCCTGGCTGAATCCATCGCTGAAAATGCAAGTGAATGCGCTGTTAGGAGGGGAAGGAAGGAGGCACCGGTGCCCTGGAAGGGTGTCTTCCGGTCCCCAGCCCCTTCCTCTCTCTCTGGCTCTTTCCCTTTCCTGTTTCCTGGCCACCGTAGGGTGAGCTGCTCTCCTCTGCCCGGCCCTTCTGCTGTGCTGCTTCTGCCTTGACGCCAGCTGACCATGGACGGAACCTCTGAAACCGTGAGCCAGAATGAACCTGTCCTCCTGAGGAGCCAGGCACTGTGTGTCCCAGTGACGGAAAGGCGGACCCTTGGCAGATGCACTCAACTCAACTCGTTCCCAAGGGCCGGTTATAACTCAGGTTGGTCCACTGAAGGCTCAGGCTCCTCCACACAGCCTTCAAAGTCTTCCCCTGTACACAGGCAGATCTTAGAGAGTCACTGGCCCCAGGATCTCTCAACCCCACACAGGAAAGGATGTGGTAATTAACGCTCCTTCCAGAACGCTTTTGGGGTTAAATCTGCATCGGAGACCATCTGGAAGCACAAGCTGCTGACATTCAGGTCGTAACCCAAGACTTTGGTCCTAAGTTACAACTAAAATTCCGGTCATAACCCAGGTTGTTTGTATGTCGGGCCGGTCGTAACTTGAGGGTTCATTGTAATGCGATTACCACAGGGGCCCCCACCTCACAGGGACTGTGCTGCCGGAATGAGATGGGGCTGGCAGAGGGCTCCACACGTCGCCCGGCCTGGGCACCAACTGGGCAGCAGACGCTCTTGGTACTGATCCGCCTGGCAGCCATGCCAAGGCCATGGCGTTAGTTGGGGAAGGCGGCAGGTTTCTGAAAAGTCATTGTTTGAATCTGGGTTTGAAGAAATGGCTTGCACGGAGTCACCAGAGTCGAGTGTAAAGGACGTGTGTGTGTGGGTAGGAGGAGAGAGTCTGGGTGGCTCCAAGAGTAACCCACTTCTAACCAGTCCCCACCCTCAGAAGCAAGTCAGCTGTCCAGTCACCCTCCCAAACACATGGACCACTTTAGTCCCAACCACGGCGCTGTGGCGGCAGGGGCGTGCGTCCCACGTGTCAGCTACCGAGGGTCGTGATAATGCTGCGTAACAGTCCCCGGCCAGGATGACAGTGGCTGAAGACTAGGAAATCCCCCCCCAGCAAGGTGTGGGCGTGTTCCAAGGGGCACCCGCTGGGCGCCCCCTCTGGTCCGGCACACCAAAGTCTGACAGCCCGGACTCCGGCGACTGCTCTCCTGTGTGCACCCAGAGATCTCCTACCATTGCACATTCCTGCCCAGCCCGTCCCCGCCCCACGTCTGGCCGGCCTCGGACACACGGGTCCCCTCAGGGGCTTGGCTTCCGGGTCTATGAAATGGGATCCATCGCGGGTGCCTGGCGGGGGTCACAGGAGCCCTAATGTGCACGGTGAGCCCGGCACAGTGGCAGCGGCGGGACCTGCTAAATACACTCATTGTCATTTCCATCATGGTTGCTGGGGCTGACGCGTGAGGACGGTGTCCTCCCCGGGCTTCCGGGCGTCTGCGATTCCCAGCAGAAGCCAGCCTTCCTTCCCACGTCTGCACCCAGGGAGCAGCGGACCATCTGCCGGGGGATTTCTGATTAACAAGCTCTCATAATCTCCGCTGTGATCACGGCCCAGAGCCGTCCCCCGGGGTCCCTGCCAGAGCCATGAATATCTGAGCGCTGAGCCCTAGCACTCCTCCAGACCCCAGGGTCCCCAGCACCAGAAGTGTTTGCTCATCCGGGTTGTCGCACGGCAAATATTTACTGAAGTCCGCTCTGGGTCCAGTCTGAGGTGCAGTCACCACTGACGGCTGCTTCTGAATCTCGAGACATTTTCCGGGCCTCTTGGGATGACTCGGGAGAGGCTTGGCCCCAACGGCCTTAGGCCTGAGTAAGGTCAGATGATCAGCGGTTTGCAGAACTGTCTGATGTTCTAGGGACCTGGGGGCAACTTCCCCAGAAGCGGAGTCCCCAAGGAGGATTCTTACGCAGGCCAGGAAGAGAGGCCACTGTGACACCATCCAAGGACCAGGGCACAGGATGGGCGGGGCAGCCTAGCCAAGAGGGGTCTGCAGCTGAAGCCCAGTCCCCGTCTGACCCCGAGGGGGCTCCGGAGGTCAGACTGTGCTGTGGGTCTGTGCCACTTGGGGGACGGGGAGGTGGGAACGGAACCTAGGGCTGCACACAGAGCTGCGTCTCCAGTCCTTTCTAAACTTTGAAACAGGTTCTCACTGAGTTGCTGAGTTACCCCGGCTGGGCTTGGGCTTCCAGTCCGCCTGCTCCAACCTCCCAGAGAGCTGAGATTGCAGGTGTCTGTGCCACTGTGACACAGGGAGCAAGGCTGTGCACCTGGGCACAAGCACGGCGTTGGCAGTCAGCCACTGGCGGGGTTTGGAGGGCGCCGACCGGGGCAGGAGGCCTGTGAGGAAAGCCGCAGAGTGAGTGTTTAGTAGCAGCACCGGCAGCACCAGGGCCAGGCATGCCCGACCGTGGGGACACCCACAGAAATGAGGGCAGCGCCCACATCTGTCCCATCACTGCCCCTGGCAGCACGGACCCAGCCCAGGCAGCCACCTTGGTGTCGTTGGCTCTGACTGGGCCAGAGACGGGGCTCAAAGCACAGGCTCGGCACACACTAAACCCAGTTTTTACTTCATCCCTTCTGTCCGCCGGCTGTGTGACAGCGGGGAAGTCCCTCTGCCTCTCTGGGCCTCCCCTTCTCTGTGAAAACTGAAGGTCACACCCATCTCAGAGGGCTGCATTTGGGCCATGCCTAATTCAGACCTAGTACAGGGTAGTTATTGGCCAAGGGCAGAGCAAGAGTTTGGATCCAGAATTCCTTAAATCCTGATGCTTAATAATATCCACCAGGCCCTACTCCAGAAACACCTGGGTGCCTCAGTTGTTCCATCCACAAAATGGGTCAGTAGCCTTCCTGCAGGATGTGTGTGGCAAGGGCAGCAAGCTCATGTATGCACATTTTTGGATGAGGACATAAAGGCCCCAAACACTTGCTTTAGGAGAAAAGAACCCCCATACTTTCTTGAAGGGGTGAATACCAGGAAAAAAAAAAGATTCTACGAGGCCAATGTGGTGGTACACATCTATAATCCTAGCACTTAGGGAGGCTGAGGCAGGAGGATTGCAAGTTCAAGCCCCATGTGGGCAACTTAGTGAGAGCTTCACTCAAAAATAAATAGACAAATGAGTGATAAAAAGGACTGGAGATGTGGCTCAGTGCAAAGGCCTTGGGCTCGGTTCCTAGTGGTCAGCATGACCACCTTGTCCTTACACCCTTGCCTCACAGCCACTCCCCAGGGCTCCCACAGGCCTCTGCCTGGATCAGCGGTCAGACACAGGCAGCCCAGCCTGGACTCTTAACCCCAAGAGGAGCCAAAGGGTCCACGGTGGCCGCAGGGAGCCGTGTTCCACTGGGAACCGGGGCCAGCTACGGAGGAGTCTGCGGGGTGGGTGTGTGAGGGACCCGGTGACCCTGGCCCCAGCCTGTGACCCGGGGGACGGGGCCGTCTGTTCAGCTCCTCAGACTTGGCAGATGACACAGACTTCCTGGGGCTGGGGGACCGGCCAGAGCAGAGGAGGGGCTGGACGTGGCAGACCTGGGAGCCCCCAGCCTTCCCCCCGCTGGGCTGGGGGCATCTTTCCAGGCAGAAGGCAGAATCCGCTCCAGCAGCAAGGACCAGGCGGGGGCCCTGGTGCTGCCCGTCGGGGGCGCGGTGCTGTTTTGCTGACCATCTGGTGTGCGGGCGGTGGGCGTGTTGGGGACGCAGAGGAGGGGCCACCGGCTAAGCTGGGACAAGTCGGTGAACTGACTGACACTCCTGAGCCCCTGGCTCCGGCCAAGACCGTGAACCCCTGGAGGCATGGACACCCTCGCTCAGCTCCTCTCTGTCCAGCCTGCGTGCCCCTCCCTTTAAGGTTTCTTTCATTCATTCCTTCGTTTTTGCTGTGCTGGGATTGAACCCAGGGCCTTTGCACTGAACTACATTCCCAGTCCCCCTCCCGCTTTGACACAAGTTCTCTCTAAGTTGCTAAGTTACCCAGGCTGGCTCAAACTTGAGATCCTCCTGCCTCTGCCTCCCAGCGTGCTGGGATTCCATGCTTGTACCACCATACCTAGCTCCTTTGAGGTGTTTCTTCTGAGCCCACTGCCCGAGCAAACCACCCGTACACCGCCCCAACCCAGCTTTGCTCCTAGCCTCTGCCCAGGAAGTCCTCGGGACGATCCCTCTCCTTTCAGACTGTGACAGCCCCTTTTGCAGATGAATGGGGAGGACACTGCCAGAGGCACCGAGGCACAAGTGTGACAGAGTCTCTGGGACCTGTGGGGGCCACTGAGGGCGATCGCCTGCCCCACAGCGGGACGAAGGGACAAATGGCAGGTTCAGGGCTGGACAGGGCCTGGGTCACAAAGCCCCTCCCTGCCGGGATGCAGGACCTGCCCTTGGGGCCGAGGCCACAGGAGGGGAGGCCAGGAGAGGACGTCAGTGCCACCCACGCTGTGCCCCATCTGCAGGACCTCAGGTGGCCGGGCTTCCAAGTGTGCCAGCCTGCCCTCCATTCGGTGTCTCTCTGCGTTCCAGCGGCGACAAGGACATTGAGACCTGCTGTCTCTGGCTCGGGCCAGCTGCCACCGACATGGCCCAGCTGAGCCAAGGACTCGAGCCAAGGCTGACGTCCCCACCGCGCTCCAAGGCGACTGGCTAAAAAGGTCACAACACAGGCCTCGTCTCCCACGCACAGACGCAGGCACCCAAAGAAGCAACGCCAAAGGCCAGTCTGTCCATGCCCCGCCTGTTGGTCACAGCTGTTTGTGACCCTGCATGGGAGCAGAGGGCACTTACATCCACGTGCTCTCCCTCCGGCCAACCACACGGCCTCCTTTCCAGGCTCCCAGCCACATCCCGTCTCACGCCTCAGTTAAATGAACACCTACTGTGTGCCAACCATCACAGAAAAGTGACATGCCTTGGAGTTTAGTGGGGAAGGGGATTTGGGGACCCAGGCCAGCACTTAACTCTGGGGACCAAGGGGAAGGGGAAGATAAGGTCCTTAATGGGACAGGCCAGAAGATCTCACCCAAGTGGAGACTCAGTCGGGCAAGGTGCCGGGGCTGCAGAGCTGATGTTTGGGAGTGGCGGGCTTGGGGACACAAAAATAAGTGCACGTCATTAATAACTGCCCCCACCCCTACACTGTGCAGGCTCGGTGAGTGCCAGGAAGTGTTGGTGCAGATAGGAGCACCAGGATGCAGTGAATGGTCAAGGCCAAGGCTCATGAGGGAGGTCAAGGCTGGGAGGGCGGAATTGCCTGCCTAAACCCTCCATGGCTCCCAAGTACCCTCCAGTAAAGTCCACAGCTGAGACTTACAGAGCCCCAACTACATTTCCAATTTCCATTGAACACTTCCCACAGGCCCCACCTGAGCACCAGCTGTTCTCCCCTTCCTGCTGCCTGGATCAGCTCTGTGCCCCATCTCCCCGTGCCCATGTCAAGAGCTAAGGCTCACCTCTGTCCCTGCATGGAGCCAGCCACATTGACTTCACGGGCAGGCAATGAATCCATCTCCCCCTGGCATCCGTAGGGTCTGAAATCCCATGTAAGTCACTCCTGCAGGTGGGCTAAGAGCTGGCCAATGTAACCAGCGACCACCCGCTGTCCACCTACTCCCGTGGCTGCTGTGGCAAAGACCGCATGGCTGCAAAGCCGGAGATACCGAATGCCGGGCTCTTAGGAGGGGGTCTGTTCGCCTGTGTGCAGGAGCCAAG